GCAGTGGCTCTGGTCATTTCTGGAGGGCCGTTCCCAGAAGGTGTTATTGGGTGACACCTGTTCAACCCCACAACCATTGTCTTGTGGGGTTCCTCAGGGCTCAATTCTGTCTCCCATGCTGTTCAACATCTACATGAAGCCGCTGGGTGAGATCATCCGGAGTTTCGGGGTACGGTGTCATCTGTACGCAGATGATGTCCAACTCTGTCACTCCTTTCTACCTGCTACTAAGGAGGCTGTCGAGGTCCTGAACCGGTGCCTGGCCGCTGTATTTATTTTTATTTATTTATTTGCTTTATTTCTCTATACCGCATTTTTCAGCCCAAACAGGTGACTCAATGCGGTCTGTAACGGTCTGGATGAGGGCGAACAAATTGAAATTGAATCCAGACAAGACAGAGGTACTCCTGGTCAGTCGTAAGGCCGAACAGGGCATAGGGTTACAGCCTGTGTTGGATGGGGTCGCACTCCCTCTGAAGACACAGGTTCGCAGCTTGGGTGTGATCCTGGATTCATCGCTGAGCCTGGAGCCCCAGGTTTCAGCGGTGACCAGGGGAGCATTTGCACAGCTCAGGCTCGTGCGCCAGCTGCGCCCGTACCTTGGGAAGTCTGACTTGGCCACGGTAGTCCACGCTCTTGTCACATCCCGCCTAGACTACTGCAACGCTCTCTACGTGGGGCTGCCCCTGAAGACGGCCCGGAAGCTGCAATTAGTCCAACGCGCGGCAGCCATGATTCTAACAGGAGCGGAGCGCAGGGAGCACACAACCCCCCTGTTGCACCAGCTCCACTGGCTGCCAATTTGCTACCCGGCTCAATTCAAGGTGTTGGTATTGGCCTATAAAGCCCTAAACGGTTCCGGCCCAAGATACCTTTCTGACCGCATCTCGGCCTATGAACCCACCCGGACTTTGAGATCTTCCGGGGAGGCCCTGCTCTCGATCCCGCCAGCCTCCCAAGCACGGTTGGCGGGGACGAGAGATAGGGCCTTCTCGGTGGTGGCTCCTCGGCTGTGGAACGCCCTTCCTACAGACATTAGGCTAGCACCTTCTCTTATGGCATTCCATAGAAAGTTGAAGACCTGGATGTTTGTGCAGGCGTTTGAGTAATTTAGTGCAATCTGGTAATTGAACATAGGAACGGAACAATGGATAACGAATTTGGATCATGCATGGATGATGAGGCGATTGGGGATGGGGTTTGTAATAATTGTGTATTGGGATTGTTTATTAGTTATTAAGGGAAATGTGTAAACTAATTGTCATTGTTTATTGAACTTTTGCTGTTTTTATTGTCCTTACTGTTTGTGAACCGCTGTGAGTCGCCCTCGGGCTTGAGATACAGCGGTATATAAGCATAGTAAATAAATAAATAAATAAATAAAATAATGGCATTCTGGAAAAGTGTGAAGATGTTCCTTTTCGAGAAAGCATTTAATTAAGCCAAATAAGTGATAGAGGAAGCTCTGGGTTTTTATATTGGTTTTATATGGTCTTAATGGTGTTTGCTGTTTCAAATATTTATGTTCTAATGGGTTGTTTTAACATTTGTATGGTATGCTTTTATTCTGTTGTAACCGCCTTGGGTGTGTGCTCAGAGAAAAGCAAGATATAATTTATTGAATAAAAAGTCATGTGGAGTGCTCGCACCATGTCCGAGATTAGTGTTCTTTACTTGGCCCTCTTAGATATGAGGCTAACTGTAGTTCCATATCTGAGTTACTTCTTCCATACCTCTCTAGTCCACAAGATTCTGCACTTCTGAAATGTACTGTTGCTGCTGTTATGTGCTTTTGATTATTTCCAACTTGTGGAAACTCTAAAGCAAACCTACCATGAGGTTTTGGGACAGTATTTGTTTAGAAATGGTTTGCTATTGTCTTCTTCTGAGGTTGAGAGACCGTGGCTTGCCCAAAGTCACCCAGTGGCTCTGAGTAGGGCTGAGTGGGGATTAAAACTACAATCAACACTCAAACAACTACAGTACCCTGGCTCTCACAGAACCAAATGCCCTAAATTGCAAATTATTTCAAGGGACTTTTTCCGTGTCAGGAGTGACTTGAGAAGCTGCAAGTCACTTCTGGTGTGATAGAATTAGCCGTCTGCAAGGACGTTGCCCAAGGGACACCTGGATGTTTGCTGTTTTACCATCCTTGTGGGAGGCATCTCTCATGTCCCTGCATGGGGAGCTGGAGCTGACAGAGGGAGTTCAACCTGCTTTCCCCAGATTCAAACCACTGACCTGTTGGTCAGCAGTCCTGCCAGCACAAGGGTTTAACCACTGTGCCACTGGGGACTCCTGTTCAAGGGACTGATAGTTGATTTTCTGATCTTCAGTTAAAAGGAATTTAAAGAGACTTACAGACCTGTAAAGACAAAGGAATGTCTTATTTACACAGAGCTCTATGATTAGTTGGGTACATTTATATACCACTTGCTTCCACTAAGCTATAACGCAACCATCATCCTCCCCACTTTATCCTCAAAACAATGCTATTGGGTAGGTCAGGTGTTGAGAGAGTGACTGCCAGGTTGCCATCCTCTTACAGAGGGTAATTTTACATTATGCTTCTGTATCCATTTGTTGTTATTTCTATTGCTGCTGTAGAAATTGAGATAATCATAGAGTTGGAAAGGATCACAAAGACCATCTAGCTCATCCCCCTGCCATGCATTCTATTCCACTGTTAAACAGTTCTTACAGTAAAAAAATATTATTCTTCCTAATGTTTAGGAAAAATTTGAATCCATTGGTTTACATTCTTTGGAGCAGCAGAAAGCAAATTTATCTTCTACATTACATCCTTACACTTTGTGAGTTTTTTGTCTCCTCTAAGATAAATATCCCTAAGTCATTCTTCATAAGGCTTGGTTTCTAGACCCTTGATCATCTTGGTTGGCTTTGTCTGGACACATCTGAATTTCTTGATGTCTTATTGAACTGTGGTGCCCAGAACTGAATACAATATTCCAGGTGAGGTTTGACCAAAGAATAAAGGAGCACCATGACGTCCCTCAATCTGGACACTATATTTCTGTTGGTGCAAACCAGATTTACACCTTCTTCTTTAGCCACTGCTATTGATAATTCTCTTCTTCTGTCCACAACCTCTAAACCACTCCAAAAAGCACAGTTGCACTGAGTTAGCCCCTAATAGCCATTTCACTGCTGGAGGAGAGTGAAGGGAAAAGGAATTGTTTAACTATATCTTCATAACCAGGCAAAGATTAATGGCATCATCTATTGAGATTGGTGATGAATCTCAGCAATTATTCTCAGTTTGCATTTAGGGACAGTCTCTCCAACAACAGTGGAAGGGCTGGGAAGGGAGGGGGCTGTTTGCACAACGGTCAGTTAGGGATGGTAACAAGAGAGCAGAGTTCCATAGACTTGCACTATGCTTCATTGTGTAGATCAGACCCAGTGAGTTTTATGGCTCAGTGAGGACCTAAATATGGGTCTCCTATATCTCTTGTCCATCACTGTCACCATCACACCACAATGACTGCTTTACATCCAGACTAAATCAAACGTTTGTGTCTGTCTTCAAGTCATCTGAATGTCACAAGGTTTTCTTAGTCAAGGAATTCTCAGGGGTGGTTGTACCAGTCCCTTACTCTGAAACCTAACCTATACCACATATTATTTGTTGGAGGTCTCCCATCCAAGTATTAGCCAGGGCTGCCAAGATCAGATGGAATTCTATGCCTTTAGAGTACTTAGGTATAGCAAAATCTGTATTAACCATGATGCCCAGCCAAACAGACAACAGATCTATTTTGCTTATAAATGAAACTGAATCCAGTTCATAAAGTTTTCTGATCTACTCTTATGTGTATTGCAGTCTACAGGAACATGAGTAGAATAACAAGAATTCTTCAACTGTTCAAGAAAAGCTTCAACAAAGTGAACACACAGACCTATACCATTATATACATATTTTACATATTTAAATATGTATTGAGTACTGAAACTTAGAAAGCTTTTAGTAACCAGGAGTCCTTGCTTTGTAATATGCTCCGAGGCATTTAGTTCTGTATAAATGCTATTCAATAGGTGGTGAGAAAGAACCAGGAAATAGCTTTATTGTGATTGACATACAACCTGTCGGTCAGTGTTTAAAGAACAGTGAAAATTGGAGATACCTTCAAAGTGTGAAGATGTCCTCCCTCTTAAGAGATATTTGAGTGGTAAATGGACAGCCTTATTTAGAACAGAATAGGCTGGACAGATTTTACTGATCTTGACAAGCACAGCTTCCTCAGTGTCAATAGAAATTTTCCCTTGAATTTCCTGAATGTATCCAGGAGTTGTTGCCGAGCTGCTTTCTCTTGAGAAAATGGAAAGAGAACAGCAATGGTGGTGGAGGAATATCAGCAAAGCCTTCAAGCTGTCCCCAACTGGGAGGTCTCTAGAAGAGTGAAAACTGCAGACAGTTCCTTAACATGGCTGGGGAGAAGGGAGAATTTCAGCAGGTGTTGCTTGTCAGCAGATTGTGCGACATGCAACATGTGCAGAAATCTCCCCTTTTCACTCTGGAAATTTTACTGACAGCAGAAAAAGTTCAGGAATGTTACTTTTAAAAAACGACAACTCCCACAATCCCCTTGAAAGTCTGAATCTCCAGGTGACTATGGCTAGCAGCTAGGTCTGTAAAGTGATAGGAGTAATCAGCCAAAAACCCAAAAGAACAAAACTGCCAATTTCTGAGGGCAGAATGCAGAGGGGATTTCTTGTTTCCCATAGCTTCTCAGCCATCCTTCTTCACAATTTGAGATAGCTTCCTCAATGACTATTGTCTACTGGCAGCTTCTTTGAGCTGTCTCTCAACCCAAAGTCCAATTACAATAAGTTGTAATAAATTAATGGTTATGAACGAGGGCTTCATGTGCCACAGAATTTCTTAGTACTATAAATTCAGGTATACTCCCCCAAAGTCTCAGTAGACATAGCATTGAAGAGAATTATCAAGCCAGTACAAAATATGACGTAACCCAGTGTTTCATTGACCGCTGCAGCATTTTATTTCATTCCAACATTTTTAAAAAAACAACAACATAAAATAAAAGACAAGGTGTAGATTAGAAGCCAAAATACCACAGTGTGGATCAGTATCCAGTCCACCTGGCAGCAACAATAACCAGCATTCAACCTGGCAAAAGGTATGCTTAAAAGTACTCCCAGAGATATTTGCGGAGCAAATGTCAAAAGAAATAAGATATTCACCAGCAAATAGATGTACTTCCCATTCAAGAGTGAACTACACTGAAAAATAACACTGTACTATTTCATCAATGGGGAAGAATGGAACACTGTAGTAGAGGTCAAAAAATGGAAGCTGAATTTCTGATTACTATCTCATAGGAAGAAAGGAAACACTGAAGGGAATGTGAGATTTATCAATCCATTAAATCTCTAAGATTGTGCTCAAATATTAAAGTAAAACAGACTCTTTTAAAACAGATCAACATGAAGAACAGTGGTCTTTTTGTCCAATATTCTACAGTTAATATAATTTACGATTAAAATTTTGTAAGATGGGCTTCATATGTAAAGAAACAGTTTGGAAAATAAATGGACTATATTCTTTTAACTGACTTGACTATTTGACCAATCAATGAAATCTCATAAACATAATACTGTAGTTTACATACAATGGATTCTGCGGTAGTTTTTTTATTTTTTACAGAGAGTATTATAGTGTTACTCCATCTAATGTTGGATTGCCTTGGCTTGAATCCTATTAATTCCAATTAGAATTTCCATCTCTCCATTTACTCCTAAGTTAACAATTCATTCAATGGGTTTATTCTATTCAGGAACAACCAATAGAGTTCAGGCCCATATTTGGACAATTTGAAAGTGTTGATGATGGTGACCTGAAATAAAAATTGAAGGGTCTAGAAACTATTTTATTTAAAATAAAGGAGATATACATCATTTTTTCCAGTCATATCATCTTTTTTCAGAGTTACCAAAAAAAATTCAAGTGGATTTAAAAGGGAAGACAAAATTGTTCTTTCAATGCCATAAAAATTAGGAATATTTCTACAAGCTATTATCCCAGTTTATAAAGCAGGGGTATCTAAAGTAAGAATAGCCATAGTGATTGTTGGCTTGAAACAGTCAATCAATAAGCCTTTATTGCTTTTCAAAATATAGTAACCCTACTTTGTTAATACTGTCAACCCTCCTCATGCATTGATGTTAGGGACACAGGACCCCCATGAAACTGATAAACCACAAATTAAAAAATGCTATTTTTGACACCTCTTTGGGAATCTCTAAGTCCTCCAGTACAACTCTAAATCAAGAAGAAAATACCAGAAAAATGGGACTGAACAGGGAAAGCTGCAGTATTTCTGCTGATCATTTCTTGGGGACTTTCAAATTTGAGACCAACAGAAATTGGACTTGGAATAATTTCAATTGCTTCACCTGTTCTTTACTGATTCTTGGAGGCAACACAAATTTTGAAAAAAGATGCTTCAATAAAATATTCAGATATTTCACTGCCCTTGAAGGCACATCTTAGTGAACACACAAGTTTTTTAAATTCTCAAATGCTCCAGAGACTAAGTATGATGAATGGAGAGTAATCATATAAGCCAGTGAAACCAATAGTCTGTGCAGTCTTATCTATGACTGGTAAGCCCAGTTATTGCAGGAAAAAAAGGAGGAAACATATATTGCATGAAATCTGTCGACCAATTCCTGAGAATGTGTAGTACACCTTCCTGATAAGACATGTACAGCTGTCAAGATAAAATCTTCTTCCATCACAGTTTCCTGTGATTTTAATTTGTCTCTTAAAATCAGTTTTTGTTTAATTCTGATGTGTTTGTTTACAGGGAAATGAGGGGAAAGTTCATTTTCCATAGCTTTGAAAATGCAATTTTTGTTGCATGTTAACAAGCTAACCATGGGATTCTGGGAGGTATAGTCCAAAAAGTAATGTTTATTTTGTCACATGTGTATGGAATGTCTGGCCTTGTCTTACTTCCATTCACAAAAATATTCTTTGAAATATAGAAGAGGAAAGCTTCATAATTTTCCTTTCCCAGATCTCTTCCTCGCCCTCCCTCAACTAACCTCCATAGTACTAAGAAAGGTTTTCCAAATTCCTAGCACAGACTAAGGCAGGATAAAGGGGAAAAGTCTAGAAATAATAAGCAAAAATATTTTCTTTTCTTCCATACATTTCCAGAATTCTCTGGTGGATCAGAAGACATTCTGTGAAGGATGCTAGCTCACATGTAACCATGTTAGGTGAGCTTGCTTATATTTTCCTTTACTACCCCATTAAAAACAGAAAGGTTGCAAATTGGGCATGGGCTGAGGAAGAAATTCTTGCCCCCATTCCCTTCCATGGATACAATTCAATGCCAGATTTTCAGATCTACAGAACTCTACTGTGGTAGGCATACATGGAATGTCATGTTACATTTTCTTCCCAATGTGAGTTATTCATGCATCTTCCACGTAAGGACTCTGATCACTCACTAAAACAAAAGGACTACATTGGTATATATGATGAATCTACTATGAGCTGATTAATTCTTCTTGACTTAAACAGGAGCTGTATACTGAGGTCACATAGCAATCTCACACAAATGTGTAAAGCCATGTGAGCAAATAGGTGTCTTCAAATTTGAGAGGATTTGGAATAATTCAGTAGCATCTTAAAAATCACACATCAAATTGGGCAATAACAGTGTCTTCTTTTCTAGATCAAACAACTGTTTTGTTCAAAACCTGTTGCCTTTTACATGCTGTGCTAAAATAAATTAAGGCTGGACAATGTCTCAATATTTGTTGCATTTACTGGCTCCAATTATGGGACAAGCATCTGGCTTGTCTAGAAATAAAGTGACATAATAACTGCCATTCCTACATAAAGGAAAATAGCAAGAAACAAATTGGCTGAGGAAGAGAAAAAAATGAGAATTGCCAGAGTTGGTTATGTAACTGGGAGGATACAAGACATGGAAGAGAAGAGATATACATATTTGGAAGAACAAACTGAATCACTGATACAAAGTTCACAATATGACTAGAGATATCAGTTAAGACAGCGAATTTATCCTGACAGGATGTTTACATTAATTATTTTCCTGAAATCAACATGTTTGTGGAATAACTCTTGGACGTGGCATTTTAATAATGAGCCATGCTAAGTGCTGAATACCCACAGTTCTACTATTTATTGAGTAAAGTAGCATTGAAAAGTTACTCACTGAAATCTTTTGTCTTTTACAGAGTAAAACTATAGTAAGAAAATGTATTCCTTTTCATTATTGATTCTGCTTCTGTACAGCTCATGGCTCAAATGCAGGATGGAAATATTTACCTGTAACACATGGGACTGAGTAATTTTTCCCTATTCAGTTTAAATACATATCAAAACAAATCTACACAGACATTCAACCAGCAGTGGGGCTCTGGTGTGGCAGGATGCAGGCTGTGAACCTTACTCCAAAACAATTTCAGAGTGCCTGCCTGCAAAGTAATGTTTCATGATATTGCATAGGTAAAACAATTGGTATATCTCATCCAACACACACAAGTGTGTGCGCTAGCACAACTAATCTTAGGATTAAGCTATAAGGCTGTAGTAGTCAAAACATTTTCTCATGGATTCACAAACAGTGGTTAGGTTTGCAACAGCTGTACAATTCAAGTGTGACATCAGGCATATACAACGCAATCCTAACCCTATCTTCTTAGGGCCCTTCCACACAGCCACATAGCCCAGAATATCAAGGCAGAAAATCCTGCTTTGAACTGGGTTATTTGAGTCCACAGGGCCATATATTCCAGTTCAAAGCAGAAAATGTAAGATTTTATTCAACTTTGTGGAAGGGGCCTTAGAAGTATATGTAATTGAATCAATGGGACTTGCTCCCCAATAGGGTTGCTATGTTAATCAAAGATCTGAAATAATCCAAATGGCATTATCACTTAATTGGCTACAATTATCCAACAAATATTTATTTGTCAATTTAAATAACCAGAATTCTACTTTTTTTAGACAAACAATGGCTGGTGGAAGATCAGTTTTTAAAAGTAAAATGAAAAATACACTTGGCTGGATCAATTCTTGGCATACATGCATTTAGCTTGTCTTCAACTTTTAAAAACATTACAAATTTGGACAGGAGCTGGTGTGTGGATGCTGGCAGATTCATAAAACAAAGGCCTTTTTTAAAAAGAATGAAAAGTCATACACACATCTGTCATGCTTCAGAAAAGAAAATGTTTTTTTCACAAACAGTGGACAAAACAGTCTCCGCCTCTGGGGCTCTAAAAGGCCACTGTTGCCTGGCTTTAGCAACATGGATAAAATCATTTTATGGCAAATAGGAGGCTTATCCTTTTTTTTCTTAGAAATTAATTATATAAACCAGTAAAACCAATAGTCTGTGCAGTAAAGTGACAAGGCAGTCCACGAAAGGCCCCACGTTGGGCATAATGACCTTGGCTCTTGACAAATGTCTTTTTCCATTTTGCTTCTCTGGTTGCTTGGGTTGCCCATCTGTGGTCTGTAAAAACTCAATCTCGTTGAAAAATACTAGGTAAATAAAGTGCAAATAAGACTCAAGTTTCCCCCAGATATTCCAAATGTTTAGTATCTTTATTACCAGTATTGCCAACTTGGTCTTGACATTAGTGGGAAGCTTGGGATATTCTTCACTTTCAAAAACCCTGGGTGCATTTTTTTCAGTTAAAAGCGAGTAGAAAAGAGGGGTGATTTATGCCAAAGGGGTGTGTGATACGAAGCTGCCATGAGTACCATCGCCGTAATATGCAAATACAAGAGAGTGCCAAAAACAGTGCATTTCTGCAAGTAAAAAGAGTGTCCAATAATAATTGGAAACAGACCATGTTGCCTTTGGATCTTATTGCTTGCAAACAGTCCCCTATTCATCACTGAAAAACCGTATGAGTAAATTCAGTCTTCATTGAGAACTGCATCTGTCTTCCCTGCATCTGCAATGAAAATGAAAGAAATTGTTAAAGTCCAAAACCATACACAAGCCAGGCATACACAGTATTCATGAGCCTAAATGTTTGGAATAACGTGTAATTGAGTATTTGTATATTTATTTAAATAATTTCTACATCACATGATTATCATCAAAGAAGTGTGTGTATATCAAATTATAACAATATAAACATAATCTAAATGTATGCTTCAACTATGGAGGCTGAAGAGGATGAAAGGAAAAATTGACTTAGATGAAGGGTTAGAAGGCATGATTTTCAAGTTTTCAGATGACACCAAATTGGGAGGGATAGCCAATACTCCAGGAGACAGGAGCAGAATTCAAAACGATCTTAACAGATTAGAGAGATGGGCCAAAACTAACAAAATGAAGTTCAACAGTGACAAATGCAAGATACTCAAGTTAGGCAGAAAAAATGAAATGCAAAGATACAGAATGGGGGACACATGGCTCAAGAGCAGTACGTGTGAAAAAGATCTTGGGGTCCTTGTGGAAAACAAGTTAAACATGAACCAACAATGTCATGTGGCGGCAAAAAAAGCCAATGGGATTTTGGCCTGCATCAATAGTAGTATAGTGTCTAGGTCCAGGGAAGTCATGCTATCCCTCTATTCTGCCTTGGTTAGACCACACCTGGAATATTGTGTCCAATTCTGGGCACCACAATCGAAGAGAGATATTGACAAGCTGGAAAGTGTCCAGAGGAGGGTGACTAAAATGATCAAGAGTCTGGAGAACAAGCCCTATGAGGAGCGGCTTAAGGAGCTGGGCATGTTTAGCCTGAAGAAGAGAAGGCTGAGAGGAGACATGATAGCCATGTATAAATATGTGAGAGGAAGTCATAGGGAGAAGGGAGCAAGCTTGTTTTCTTCTACCCTGGAGACTAGGACACAGAACAATGGTTTCAAACTACCAAAAAGGAGAATCCATCTAAACATTAGGAAGAACTTCCTGACTGTGAGAGCCGTTCAGCAGTGGAACTCTCTGCCCCAGAGTGTGGTGGATGCTCCTTCTTTGGAAACTTTTAAACTGAGGCTGGATGGCCATCTGCCAGGGGTGCTTTGAATACAATATTCCTGCTTCTTGGCAGGGGGTTGGACTGGATGGCCCACGAGGTCTCTTCCAACTCTATGATTCTATATACAAATTCCCCCGAAAGATTGATCACACAAAATCAGACATTTCTTCATTTTTCTAATTTCCATGTATGGTTATAAAAACTGGACATTGAAGAAAGCCAATGGGATAAAAATCAACTCATTTGAAATGTGATGTTGGCTGAGAGTGCTATAGACTGCAAAAAAAATCAAGTCCTAGAAAAGAAATCAAGTCTGAACTTTTGCTAATAATAATAATAATCTTTATTTATATCCTGCCTCCCTGGAGGGACTTCGGGTGGCTTACAAGGCACTCCAGGATGCATATATATCATACAACAGGTAAAAATGGTATGAAAGTATAAAACAAGTCACATAAAATTATAACACCATTATGGTTAGAAACCATAATGATTAAACGAAGGCTGTTGTACTGTAAATACATTTGTAAGATGACACAAATGTTGTGGAAACGTTGTGGACGTTGTGGAAACGTTGTGGAAACCTAATATGTGGTAAAGTGGAAGGCAGATGAAACTTGTGGAAGGTGCTTCATTTCATTACCCTACATTCTTCCCATGCCCTCGTCTAGAAAGAAATTTATCACCTCTTCAGCCTGACCTGATTGGGATGTCTTTAAGAAACAGAGCTATGGGTTCCTATATTTCAAAATTAGTCTGCCTGGCTGTAGTTAGAGTAGAGCAAAGCCAGTGGCCTTTTCCTGAAAGAGAGCGTGTAGAGAAGGAGCACATTTCTAGAAAACAGACTGGCAGTACAGCAACATTAATATCGAGATGGAAATGCTGTTTTATCTTATTCTTACCATGAGGATGTTCAGGGTAGTTTAAAATTTAAGAAAGTGTGTGTGGACGAGGGAGAAAAACACCACTTAGATTCACAGACACATTATGTAAACACCATAGTTTACATAAGCCAAGCTTTCAGACCTAAAAGCTAATCCTCCCTTCAGATTTAATCCCCTCCTCTTCTTTTTCAGGTAGTTTATGATGTTAAAAAATACTAAAACACTTGTTTAAGGCAATGATTTCTTTCTATCTTCATAAGGCAAACATTTCTTTGACAGATTGGCTTCATGTCTTGTATTAATTTGGAGGCAATCATGCAGTCCTTGGTCAATTGTTCTGTATTTATGTTTTGGTTGACTTGGTATCTTGAACATATTTTGTTATGCCTAGATTTGGCTTTTGTCTAAACTTGGGAGTACTAAAAATAACCTCTGAAATAGATCTTCTGGTTGTATTTTGCAACTTCTTTTTGTTTTATGTTAATATCTGGATTTCACCTTTAAGAACTTGAATAGATTTAGCCTAAAATAGGATGGCAGCAGCTGGGGGGGGTGGTGGTGCAAGATCTGTTTGAGACTAGCCTGAAAAGGTAAAATCCTCCCCTGAAATGAATAAACAAGGTTGGACCACCATGACTATTTCTTTGAATCCACTTAGGAATTTTCAATGAAAAGTGTATTAAATGAACATTATTTTGCACTTGTTTTCACCGTACTCAGATTGTTATCACATGCAGTTGAATGATGCTGATACTGATTATTTTTTAGCACAATGTATTGTGTTGGAAAAAACCCCATAGAACATCAAAATTAATAATGATCAGCCTGCCAATGTTGCGGCTCTCCCACCTTAAAAACAGGGGCACAGTTTTCCTGTTTTGGGGGGTACTCGGTAGTCATACTTGAAACCTATACTAAATTTAGTAGCTTAGCATCCCCTCCTATTGTGCATGTATGGTCTTAGCCACTTAATTCAGCTTTCCTCTATGTTCAGTGTGGGTTGTTAAAGGGATAGGAGAATATATCCTGAAAGGAGGGGGGTTTTTTTGTAACTATCTGGGCTATTAGTGTTATCAAAATGTTTGAAACAGTCTCTAAATTGGGTTCTGTGAATTTTCTGGGCTGTATGGCCATGTTCCAGAAGTATTCTCTCCTGATGTTTCACCCCCATCTCTGGCAAGCATCCTCAGAGGTTGTGAGGTCTGTTGAAAACTAGGCAAGTGAGGTTTATATATCTGTGGAATGTCCAGGGTGGGAGAAATAACCTTTGTCTGTTTGAGGCAAGTGTGAATGTTGCAATTGGCCACCTTGAAAAGCCATTCAATGCTAATCAAGTTGGCCAATTGCAACATTCACACTTGCATCAAACAGACAATAGAACTATTTTTTCTCTCACCCTGAACATTCCACAGATATATAAACCTCACTTGACTAATTTCCAGCAGACATCACAAGCTCTGAGGATGCCTTCCACTGATGTGGGCAAAACGTCAGGAGAGAATGCTCCTGGAACATGGCCATACAGCCCGGAAAACTCAAAGCAGCCCAATGATTCTGGCCATGAAAGCCTTCGACAACACATTCTCTAAAATGTTTGTAATTCAGCAGAATGTTTGTGAGTGAGTATAATAATTAACATTAGCTGTATTTTAAAGTATCTGTTGATATACGTTTGACTCCCATCCATCATAATCAATGTGAAAAATGTTCAAAACAAATTTTTAATGTAGATATCTGTGAAAGCTCTTAATGATGATATACTGGTCTACATAAAGGAGAAGGATGTAAACCACTGGGTTAGTAGGTTACAGATAATCTTTCTTCCATTTGCCAAGGGTGGCGCTAGACAAGTTTCACTTCTGTTGGATCTACTTTGGGGTTTATTTCTTACTACAATCTCAAGATTTATTAACCACAGCAAGTGCAAAATACATGTACCTAGAGAATTTTGAACCCATTATCTAACTATAAGCTTACAATCTTTCTGTACATAAAACTGTTCCTTCTTGCTCTAAATAAGATATTCCGGAGGTAATGTATGGGGAAAAGTTTCAGCTATTGTTAAAACAAATTGGGATTTTAAATTCCTCTTAATTCTTAATAGCCATAGACCCTTGGTAAAGTTGTATGTATGCTGCTGAAGACTGAAAGATTGCGGAGAGCTACCATATGGGGAGTTTGTGTGGAGTGAAGGTGTGGCATTCTGAAGTACAACTCAATTGCTTAACGCTGCCTGTTGCATATTCAGCACAGTATATCCACCTGCAGAAACCTGTTTCCACATGTGGATTGCATTCCTGGATCAGGCCATAGGTCCTTTGCCTGCATAATTAAGTTTTGTGGAGTCCTTGCCGAATGGTGGCTACACAAATGTGGTAATATTGTAAACAAAATTATCATACCAACTAAATTCCTGAATTTCTTTTTGGCTTCTGCTCTTTCTTCAGCATCAAAATACCACACAGTCATAGCGTATCTGTAAAAGAGAAAAAAGTGAAATGTACCTCTCAATGCTACCAAAATGAGAGCAGAATACTAGACACTGCTTTAGGAAGAGTGATTTACTGCTGCCTTTTGAAATATATTACTAAACAACTGAATTGGTCAGTAGGTGACAGTCTCAGCATGCACATCATAGCTCTCTTAATCTGTATGCAATGCATGTGGGTATAAACAGGCAGGCAGATATGCTGGGTTTTATGCCTTCATTTCTCTCCAGTTATATACACCTCCAAAGGTTAACAGAACACATTGTGACTTTACCTAAGTTGTTGCTAGATTGATTATATTATCAAATAAAAACCAATTAGCTATAGACAATTGGTTGACTATATGTCCTCAGGTGCCAAGTTGGTATATTCAGATTGTTACATAAAGATACTACATGAAAGAGCTATATGTTCTAAAATCTTTACTCACAACTTGATCAGAGTGAGAGCAATCATGTGAGCAATAGTGATCATGGTGAGAGTGATAAGTATGAATGTGCACACACATTTAAGGTTTAATTCACCACTATGAGCATTTTATACAGTGAGCCTATGGTATCTACTGGGGCATGGTTTCATGACATTCTGTAGATACCATAATCCATTGATGCTCAAGTGCCGTGATATACAATAGTGTAGCAAAATTGTGTCCTTTATATAAATTTGTTTTGGGAACCTTAAAAAAAATCAAACCTTGGGTGGTTGAATCCATAGATATAGAATCCATGGATCTAGAAGGCGGATTGTGTTATTTCCAGTGACAAACAAAACATATCTGGATTTCCTTGGAGAACCACATTTCATGATTTGCTATATGAATATAGGGTAGGATTTAAAAGCTATCTAATTTGAACTGCCAGGTATTTTGGACTGCAACTTCCATCTGGCCAAATCACCACAGCTACTGGTAAAGTATTAGATGAGACATCCCATCCGAAACACCTAAAGCAGCAGGTTTCTCACCTTTGATATAAAGCATCCATTATGTGACTGCCTCTTCTCATGTAGAAGGCCTGGGTTAGTTACAAAACCATTCAGCACAAAGTGCTATTTTGAATAGGAATGGACAACATGTTCAGCATCCAGAACCACAATGCAAACATATGTCTAGCCAGCAGGCCAACATTAATTTGCATACCATTTTACACAAAGCCATGCAAATGCATATGATTAGCATGACAATAGTGAACGCCAATCAGTAGGCAGCAGTCAATATTATTCTATGATAGCTTGCTTTTGAATTAGGTTTTTCAAACCCTAGACATGAAAACCCTGAGAATATTTTCTTCAGAAATGAGAAGGCATTGTTACAAAATGCAAGATTAAAAAGAAATACCATAATAAATCAAGAAGTATTTTTTACATTTGCTCCATAAAGAGTTTCCATTTACACTGCACATTTATTCCAACTCAGTTCTTCAATAAAATGCCATAGCTTGGAAATGTTACTTGTTTTGAGCAATAATTCCTAAGATTAATCAATATGAGCAAAACTGGCCAGATCTTTCTAGGAAATTTAGTCCAAAAATTAATGTTCATGCTGTGCCTCAATAGAAAGAGATCTCCCAGAAATCCACTACAAATCTCTTCATGCAGTCATTTAATTGGAAATATTTGACTGACCTGGGATCTTTACATGAAAATCAATTTACTTGTTTCTTCATGTGCATACAATAAAACAACCAACCAACCACTTGTATTTACCTTGTTGCATAGGAAGGTTGCACTTCGTGTGGGTTTCTTCGGTCTGACCAGAAAAAAAGTAATCTGTCAAATATGGGTTCTACATCCGCTACATAGGACTTGCCCTCTGGGAATATTCTCAGAATTCCCCCATGACGCTTAAAAAGAAACAGAGAGAGAGAGAGAGAAAGTGAGTGTCAATTTTATATTTATATAAGTTGTTGTTGTTGTGTGGCTTCAAGTTGTTTCCAACTAATGGAGAACCATTAGGTAAATCTACCACAGTGTTTTCCTGATAAGGTCTGTTCAGAAGAGCTCTACAATTGCCTTCCTTTGAGGATAATAATGTGTTACATGGCCAGGTTCACCCAGTGGATTTCCATGGCTGAGTAGGGATTCGAACTCTGGTTTCCAGACCTGGTGTCCAGTTCCCATATGTTTATTTATTTATTTTGTGTACTTCTACCCCGCCCTTCTCAACCCCCAAGGGGGGACTCAGGGTGGCTTACAGACAAGTTTACCTGTAACTTGTTGGTTTGCAAACTATCATAGAATGCCTTGCTTCTACTTTGATTTATAAAAAATTGGGCAGAAGGGTCAACAGATAGAAAATCCTATGATGAGTTTATACTAGGGAGGGATACAATGGAGGAGACATTTATAATAGTCATTGCCCTGCCATTTTGGAGTAAATAGTGCAGAAGGTGAAGAACAGTTTTTCTGTCTTCCTTCTCACTTAAACTGCTCACTGGAGGTAATGATATTAGAGGCAAAGATGAAGTACTTCAGCCACATAATGAGAAGACAGGAAAGCTTGGAGAAGATAATGATGCTGGGAAAAATGGAAGGAAAAAGGAAGAGAGGCCAACCAAGGGCAAGATGGATGGATAGTATCCTTGAAGTGACTGGCTTGACCTTGAAAGAGCTGGGAATGGCCATGGCCGACAGGGAGCTCTGGCGTGAACTGGTCCATGAGGTCACAGAAAGTCAGAAGCGACTGAAAGAATAAACAACAAACTCAATGAATATAATGTGAAGGACACAAGTCAACTTCTCTTCCTACATTGCTTCTGTAGTTACATTGAAGAAAAGGAGAAAAAATGGAATGGAATGAAACTTTACCTCTTCTGGTCTCCTGAGGAAAACACTGTTGTCACAAAATCAGGCCTTTGAAATAGTTACAGTTTAGGGACGACACTTCACAGAATCCCCTATTTTGAGGGGATTCTGGGATTTGTAGTCCAAGCTATGCAGAATGACCTGTGGGTGGAAATTTCCCATGGTGGGCCAGAATACTTGAAGCATCATGTTGCTGGCATCTTCATCAAGAATGCAGCATTCAAACCACTTCCTATGTCCCCTCAGCCAGCCTCCTGGTAAGGTTTGCTTTGTACCCTTAGTGTAAATGGAAAGCAAATGTATTACCAGGAAACGTGTCTGATAAACCCAATATCCTGAAAGCAGCTAAAAGCCCTGAAGATTTTTCCCTTCCTGGTACCATTGTTGGGATAATATATTATGTGTGACTGTCAATGAGATAAAGACAGAATGGCTTCTCAAAGACCAATTATATTTAGGGGCATGGCAGATGCAAGGAAGATAAAGGAACTTAGAAGCAGAAAGGCCCTCCCCACCCTGTGGATATACAAAGGATGCTGCTTCTTTTCTACATAAGGCCTGTTTATCATTTCTGTTTTTTCACTTCATTTGCTGCACTAAAGTCTTGTTTATGTGCAAAGTATTAATGAGTGTTGGAAGCTCCTGTTGTCAAAGCTTCAGAACCCGGTTTTGCATGCTCCTAGAAAAAATATATTATCTGCCATAAATGTCCATGTAAGTTGTTGTGTGGTATCTTCACTGAGCTGTAATAAAGATTCCTGACTGTCTGATACACTAAAAATAGGTAATTTATTTACACTACACCTCTCTTTATATCCTGCTTCTCATCATGCCCTTGGCAAAGATACAGGGTGTGACCTTGTGCATATTTATAGGACAAACAGCTACCATTATGGTCCAGAGCTTCTATATCACAAGGAATGCAGGAAGCTTGAATAGAAAAAGGTGGATATTGTTTCTTCTGGAAAGCCGTCATGGCACAATAGGAAGCTGTGGCACTCCAGGTATTTTAGTGTACAACTCCCATCAACCCCAGCCAGCATAGTCAAGGGTGAGGAATTGTGGGAATTACCATCCCATGACATCTGTAAAGCCATGGGAGTCTACCCCATCTTATACCACCAAGAATCTAGCCACACAGGTTCAAAGCTAGCTGTGAGCTTACAAGGCCACAGGAGAGCAAGGTTAATCCAGGATTTCATTACACATGATAACCATGTAGTTCATAGGAATGTTATGGTCAACTGTGAATATCTCCCTCCACCCAATGCAAAATAAAGCCATCTAATGAATATCTAATGAACCTGGACACACAACCAACTATGGTTCCCTGATTTTACAAAGCATACTTTATATTTGTAGGCATATGTTTTAAAACATTTTAGGGAACTAACCCTATTGATATGGAAGCCACCACATTACTTAAGAGTACCATAAAAGGAAAAGATATCTTTCATTTACTCAAAATATAAAGGGAAGCCATAACTCTTGCCTTTCTTAATGAACAGAGTTTGGGAATTTTGTTCTGTCACCGCTGGGCCTATAGCTAGTTGACTTTAGATATAGGATGTGTAATCTTTACCCAGCGGGAAGCTAGGGGCCCTAGGAAAAGTTCTCAGAGGCTTCCTTTACAAAAGGAATCTTCAAATGGCTTAAAAGGTACAGCAAAGTCTTTTATTAATGAATCAAACAGGAATTGTAAAGCTTTCTTGGTAAAGTATCAGTTCTCTCAAACTTGTCCACAGGGAACAGGCACTATCTTCAATAACTTTCTTCAAAGGAAAATTTCCCTTTTTAACTTTTCCCAAGGCTAACTAAAATCCAACCCTCACTGGTGTGGGCTCCTCTGCCAGGCCGAACTGCTTCTCGAAACACTGAGAGGACCTACCAGACAGGCAATGGATGTTCTTTAGAGTTGGCTGTCTTCCTGGAAACTCCCAAGGCTGTAGGAAGGAATCCCTGGAGTTCTTAGGAGACCCTTAAAGCTGTGGGAATGCTTCCCTGGCGTTCTTTCCCTGGAGCTCTTAAAGGTTGAAGCCTTTGTACAGGGGAAGTAAACACATCCTATACATTGGCTACCTTGCTGTGACTGACTGGAAAAGGCTCCCTTTCTCTCCAAAGCCTAGAAAGGGGGTGGAACCAGGGAACCCAATGATAATTGACAGGTGGCTTGCCCTATGAATGCAGCCAAAAGAAGCCACCTATCTGCAGAGTCCCTGAAACTTAGAACTATAAGCAAACACTAAGTGCAAAGCACAAAATTGGAGCTCCTGGAACAGCTGTTCCAGAACAAATTTTGTTGTATATAAAAGTTTCCTGGGCATATGGAGATTTGGAATCTATGCTTTTGTTAGTCAGCATCCCTAAAGACACAATGCCAACTTATTTTAAATGAATTGTAATAGGAAGGGAAAACATACATGAAGACATTGGTGTAACTTTTACTGTTGAACTTGATGTAGTACTTAGCATTGGACGGGGACTTGGTTTTTTTAATGGATTTTATATTGATTTTTATTATGTCATGTTAAATGTTTTAATGGTATTTATGACTGTTGTGGCATCCAATGGCTGGAAGGGCTTCTTATATCTGTGGAAACAAGATCCAGTCAGTGGAAAGAAGACAGGAATAGTCCCTTATTAATTCCACATTGTTAATAGTTTGGATGATTGGGAAGACTCTTTAATATGTAGAGGGAAGTGGTGTGTTGGAGTGAGTGAAATAGATGGAGAAAATTACTGATTAGGACCCTCCCCCACCCCCCTTCTAGCAGTGGGATCATTCAGATGTTTAGAAGAAGCTCAACTCAACCCAGTAGCTGGATACCAAGCAGGAAGGGAGCTGTAATTGTAAATTCCACAATTTCCAGCAAAATATTAAAGAATAGGAAACCAAAATAGAAAAGTGAATTCTCAGAAAGTTTTTGTTGCATATGCATCTCAAAATGCCATGACCTACATACCTTTGAGTCCCAATTCTTATTTAGATAGTAAATGCAAGTGATACAGCGACCATCACCATTAGGATTGTCTACATGACGCACATAGCCAGTTCCATTCCCAGGGTAGCAGGCCACCATTGCCTAAGAGACAAAAATAGGAAAAGAAGGAATCAGACTTTTTCTAACTTCCATAGTTTCTGATTTCTGTTTACTCTTTTGGTGACCATCAAAATACCATCACATGATGCTCATGCTATCATTGAAATGGATCCTGTAAATGCTAACAAGATTATTTGTGCGCATGACATACTTCTCAGGTAATCCTGATCCTGTGATACCAACAGGAACACTCTTAAAGAGTAGGGCATCACATGAAGAACGTGAAACTAGTGGTTATTTCAACTGATACAATAATAAAATTTTGTTGGAGATTAGAAGGTGAAATTAAAGAGCAATCAATAAAGTTTTCTTTTGAGGGTGCAGATATCTCTTGCGGGGAAAAACATCCTTTATTTCGAGGTATACGATGCATACCAGTGATTTCAGGCACTATGATGACACACTTTTCCTCCCTCTCCTATCTCCCCACACCCTTTAGTGCTCTGACATTCCAGCTCCATTCTCTTAGCATGTTTTAAATGGAGTGCCTTCAAGTAAACAAAATATCCCACCTCAAGAAACAGTACTTTTGGAAATCTCTCACACTGCATTTGTGAAGGACTGTACAATTCAGCTCACACAATTCTCAGAATTATATTTCATGTAATGAATATTTTCAGACCAACAATGTGAATTGGCAGGCCTAATAATTAAGGAAAGTTAAAATTTTCATTTTGTTTAGTACCATGGAATCACTTAATTTGAAGGAACCACAAGGGTCATGAAGTCCAACTCCCCTGTCAGGCAGGACTACACAACTAAAGCACTCCTCAGAGATGCCCAGGAATTTTCTGTTCAAAGATCTCCAAATGTGTTAGAACATACCCACCTAAGAATCACAAGTACTATTGAAAAGAATAGGATAAAATTGGGTCATTTAGCATTGGGAAGGTAAGAAAACAAGCGTGCATCACATATGTATTCATTTACATGTAAAAGACAAGACTTAAAGCTTTTGAATTATCTTTTTTGTTCTGTAATCCTCTCAAAAGGGCAACCAGAAGTGACACCACATTTTAATGGGGAACTGCAGAGTAACACAGATAGTGTGGGGTTGTCCAGATGTCGATGGGTATTTTCAGTCATCTAGGGAACCTTTTGCATGGTTTTCAAGCAAAAAATTGCCCGGTAATTGCACTGAATTAAATAATAATAATTGGGCTACTTAAGAAGAATTGTAGAAGCTTCAAGGGCTAAAGTGGGGTGCACCGGCTATAATTAGTAATGGCAGTGAATTAATTTTGAAAAGTAACTTTTCAGACTCCTGAGTAATGTCTAGTTCCTGTAGATTGAACCTGTGTGTCACAGTCATTGCAACAGTTCATCCCAATGTTTCAGGGCTTCAGTTCCCATCACCAATGATTTGGGCTACATTGCAGCAAAATCTGAAGGGTTCTCCATATCGGCGTTAGAGAGAGACTAGGATTTGTGGAGAGTCAGGTTCAAAATCCCATTCATCTTTGAAGCTCACTGGGTATTTATGGGGTTATCACTATCTCTAGAATTATGCAGCTAAGGGTCAAGTTCAGAATGTATTACTCGGAGGAATGTCAAATGGACTACTTGCTTTGTAATCCCAGTATTACCACAACCTGGACCTACGAAAGGGAGTGGGATATTCATTTCAATATATGAACATCTTGTATATGAAATATGCAGCTTCACAGAAGACAAATGGGGAGAACAGCCATCCTGGGACTCTTTATGTTAAAAAGTGACAGCCCTGGCAACAAAACAAGGGCAAAGAAAACGTTCTGAAACATTATATACTCATCCTAACTGCTAGCACTGTTTGGATGAAGGCTTAAACAATGAAGGGAAATCATTACAGCCCTCTTGGACCACAGTGAAATGAGATCAAGTTTTATCAGCGCGCTGGTTGGAACAATTCCAGCATAGATTCAGCTGGTATGCTAGTCATTAGTACTGCTTTCAGAGAAATTATAAAACAAATAAGGAAAGGGAGGATAGACAATTATTACAATGATCCATCTATATATATAAATCTGTTAGGTTGGTTCAACCGGACAGCAAAACTCCACAACCCCCCAACGAAACTGTACCAAAATTGCCATGCCCATAACACAACCCACAAGGTACAAACATATCTACTCAAAATGAAAAACAACACAACAACACACTCACAAAACGGCAAAACAACAAAACTCAAAAAACCCCAACGAAACTTAACCAAAATTCCCATGCCCATAACACAACCCACAAGGTACAAACATATCTACTCAAAATGAAAAACAACACAACAACACACTCACAAAACGGCAAAACAACAAAACTCAAAAAAAACCCCAACGAAACTTAACCAAAATTCCCATGCCCATAACACAACCCACAAGGTACAAACATATCTACTCAAAATGAAAAACAACACAACAACACACTCACAAAACGGCAAAACAACAAAACTCAAAAAAACCAGCGAAACTTAACCAAAATTCCCATGCCCATAACACAACCCACAAGGTACAAACATATCTACTCAAAAGGAAAAACAACACAACAACACACTCACAAAACGGCAAAACAACAAAACTCAACAAACCCCCCAACGAAACTTAACCAAAATTCCCATGCCCATAACACAACCCACAAGGTACAAACATATCTACTCAAAATGAAAAACAACACAACAACACACTCACAAAACGGCAAAACAACTGAGCATGCGCATTGGTGCCCAGCCGCAAGTTCCCTGGCGCGCGCACACAGTCTTCCGGCCAACGTTCCCTCTGCGGAAGCCATGCCCACTCCAAGCCCCGCCGCGCCGCTTCCCGCACACACACCCCCCTGCCGCACGCACACACACAACCCCACGCTCCATCACTCCCCCCACCGCCACACACACACGCGCAACCCCACTCCCCCCGCTGCCGCACACACACACGCAACCCCACGCTCCATCACTCCCACCGCCGCCGCACACACACACACACACAACCCCACGCTCCATCACTCCCCTGCCCCAATCTTACCTCCTTTTACTTCACGCCACCTCCAAACCCCACCCCGCCCCTTCCCGCCCTGTCAAAATCCAGGAAAGACAGGAAGGAAGGAAAGAAGGAAGAAAGAGAAAGGGAGATAAAGAAAAGGGGGAAGGAAGGAAAGTTAGAGAAAGAAGGAAGAAGAAAAGGAAAGAAAAGGAAAGATGGAAGGAAAGAAAAGAGAGACAGCAGAAGAGAAAGAAAAAGGGGGAAGGAAGGAAAGAGGTAGAGAAGGAAGAAATGAGAGACAGAGGGAGGGAAAGAAAAAGGGGGAAGGAAGGAAGGAGAGAAGGAAAGAAAAAAGGGAATGAAGGAAGGAAAGAGGGAGTGAAGGAAGGGCGAAGATGTAGAGAAAGAGGGAGGGAAGGAAAGAAGGAAAGAGAGAAGGAAGAAAAGAGACCAGAAGAGAAAGAAAAAGGGGGAAGAAAGAAGGAGAGAAGGAAAGAAAAAAGGGAATGAAGGAAGGAAAGAGGGAGTGAAGGAAGGGGGAAGATGTAGAGAAAGAGGGAGGGAAGGAAAGAAGGAAAGAGAGAAGGAAGAAAAGAGACCAGAAGAGAAAGAAAAAGGGGGAAGGAAGGAAAGAGATAGAGAAGGAAGAGGAGAAGGAAAGATGGGAGGGAAGGAAGGAAGGAGGGAAAGAAGGAGAGAAAGAGGGAAGGTTGGCCACAGCAACGCGTGGCGGGTAAAGGTTGTTATTTCTATGATTATTATGATGCTATTATTCCTATGAGACCCTTTTAGGGGGAATGGGAGAGGTGTCAGGTCCCAGAGGCAATGCATTGCATTATTGTTATTGTTATGATGGTGGTGAAATAAAAGGAAATAAAAAGAGAAAGAAGGAAGCAAACAGGGAGGGAAGAAAGGCAAAGGAAGAAAGGGGGAGGGAATGAAGGAAAGAGAAGGATGAAACCAAGTAGTGAAAGAAGGAAAAAAAGAAAGAGGTAGAGAAGGAAGAAAGGAGAGAAAGGGGGAGAAAAAGGGGGAAGGAATAGGTAGGTACCTCTCTTTCATAATAGTCCAGATATCTACCTCAACTTTGATAAGTTTTACTATAGGCCACAGAAACGCATGGCAGGGCACAGCTAGTATTTTATGTAGGCAACTGCTTAAGACAGGCTGCTTACTGATAACTTGCAGCATTAAAGTTTTATTGCCAACTGGAAAAGAAAGAAAGTTAACTATGGCCTAAATCCAACTCCTAGTCCCCAACTAGAACAGAACCACTGAATCGGCTACTGACTATTAAGTGAACACTTCCATAAACCCCATCAAACTCGTTTAAAGTTGTGAATGTCAACCGGGTTTGTGTCTGAGCTGGCAGCAAACAATATCAAACCAAGAGAGAGAATTTTTTCATTCTGCATGCTGATAACTCAAATAGTGATGCTTAAAATCAGAGCTCACTGGGCCAATCTTAGCTCCCATTCTCATCTATATATTTTCTACTATTATTAGAGTTACATTTTTAATTATTGTGAAGTCCCCTGGAATACATTTCTAATGAAGAATCAGGTATTAATATATATAAAATACGACAAACAGAACTGTGCAACATTGTATACATTTGATTTCAAAAAGAAAAAGTGGTATTATTCAAAACAGAGTGTGGCTTTCCTCCCTTATTGTAAGCCAGGACTGTACAACTTCCAGTTCTCCAGATCCTATTGGGGTACAACTTCCTTTATCCCTCCACATTGATCTGATAGGAACTACAATCCTCCCATCTGGAGGACCATAAATTATACACTGCTGGTCTAGACCAGTTAAGTCACTGACAGTAATTGAAACCAAGGAAATATCATTCTCAATTACCATCTGGTGGCATTTTGGCTCCCCCCTTTCAGATTGTTGGTGGGGAGTTACAAAAAAGCATGTTTAGTCTTCTTGCAGATCGCGATTGATTTTTAAAAGCTGTGTGGGATTATGGAAACTCAATGGAACAGGGTGGGGGGGGGGGTCCCTAGTGGATCCCAACAGGCTTCA